GAGAGAGAGAGAGAGAGAGAGAGAGAGAGAGAGAGAGAGAGAGAGATTAGTGTGTTTGAAAAGGAGAATAAAAAAGAGTTAAGAGGAGTGGGGATGATGATGCACATGGAGTGCTACTGGCTTTTGTGAGAGAGAGAATGGTATTCGTAGATAAAGACATGTAGTTTTAATCATAGAGTTAGTTCTGGCATTCCATGTGCTTCTTCTATCCTCTCACATTATATTCTGTTACTCGACTAAGAACAAGTAGCATTCATCATCTTTTGTGTGGATGAACAAATCTCTCTCATCTCCTACTCCTAATTTTTCTCTCTTTCTCTATAGCAACGCAAGGAAATCAAAGAAAGATGCGTGCGAGACCATCTACATCATGTACATCTAGTTGGTAAGAATGAATTTATATATGGTTGTGTGTGATTAATGGTTGAATTAATGAATGATGATATTGATATATCATGTGTGGGGCCGCCGGGTAGGTGTATTAGTGAGGAGTCATTGAGGAGATACGTTGTTGGAGCTAGTGAGAAGTGCATTCAAGAGCTCCTTCTCTCTTCTTCCGAGTTTGATTGGAAAGTGTTGGGCACTGATGAGAAAGGTGTGGAGATATCCAAATGTCGTTCCCCCTCACACCATATCTGTCGTAGCCGTAGGCTGCTAAACTCAGTCTCCAATCATAAGGTTATCAGTGTCGCCAATGCAATTCATGCCGCTAAGGTAAATTCATTCATTCGCGTCAAATTGGGTTTATTATTCAATTCAATTCAATTCAACGGGCACCATAACAAGTACTCCCTTCTATTCATAATAAGTGTCGTTTTAAGAAGTTGCACAGTAATTAATAATTTTTGTTTTTTGGGAAAAGATGAAGAGTCAATATGAAAAGGCGTAATGTATTTATTAGCTATATGAGAATGATAATGGAAAAATATGTACAAAAGATCCAAAACGTCGTTTATTTGGTTAATAGTTGACAAAGTCAAAATGACATTTAAAAAGAATAGGAGGTAGTACAATATTGAGTTTCTTTTGTTGTAGGAATGGGATCCCGATTTAGTTGAAGCTAAGTGTATCAAACACCTCGACCACAACTTGAGCATCATCAAGTTGAGATATGGAGAGAGGGCCAAGCCATTGTTCAGAAATCGAGAGTTCATCGTCTACCAACGCCGAGAAACCATGGATGACGGCACCTTGGTAAAAATACATATTATATACATGTCTTTCTTTATGTAACAATAAATAATAAATGAATGAATATTTTGTTTTCGGATAAGAGATTAAAGTTTATGAAATTAATTTGGGCAGGTAGTGGCAGTGGCTTCTCTACCAAAAGAGATAGCCTTAGGAATACACCCAAAGCACAACAACTCAGTAAGAGGCCTATTGTTGCAGTCTGGTTGGGTTGTAGAAAAACTTGACCATGATTCTTGCATGGTTACTTACATAGCTCAAGTAAGACCCAAAATTCAAATCCTCTTTTTTTTTTTTTATTATTATTTTTTTTTTTGTTTTTTTGGTTTTTATAGCATTGTTTGAATCATATTTGTTTTCATTATTTTTTATGTGGATCAAATATTAAATAATAATTATTTACATGTTTTTTCTTTTCAGTTGGATCCTGCAGGGTGGATGCCCAAATGCTTTGTGAATCGCTTCAATACAAAATTGGTTATGATAATTGAAAACCTTAAACGGCAGGTGCTGGCATGTCCCACTAGTGGTGGTACATTATGATTATTACTTTTGTGTAAAGCAAATCCAAAGGAAAAAAAAAAAAGAAAAAGTTTATTATTTAATCTTATATGAAATCTTAAGGGATCAAAAATCAAATAAATATAGTCTACTGGTTATCTATTTTTAATCTGGGATTAAGCGTAATCATAGGTTACAAACAACCTGGGATCCCCGGATTTATGCAATGACTTGTGTTTTGTCTCTTCAAAATACATCAATTTGTCTATACTAATATTGATTAGGTTTGATTCAATGAAACTTAGAGATTCCAAGTGTATTCGTTTAGAATTTCGAGGCACATTTTGAGAGTTTTTAATATTTGAGACTTTGTAAGATTTTTAAATTTTGGAAGAATTTTATAAAATCTTAAAATCTGTATGTGGATTTAGAGCGAGATTTTGTATAAAGTTTGTTCTTTTGAAATACCAGCAAATCTTAAAAAGTCTTAACAAATTCTAATTTTAAATAAATTAAATACTTCTAAATTTTGTAAGAGTCAACTACTGCTTTTGCTAGCTCGTAAGTTTTTACATTCATTCTTTCAAGTCAGTTGAGGATGGAAGTTCGTTGAGAAGTTCAAATTCGTCCCTTGAACAACTAGAAGTCTGCTTTAGAGCTGTTTAAGGTGCTCTTTACTGACGCGTATTATCTTGGTCTGGAACTCGACTATCAACTGTTTACCCACTCCTTAAATCAATGATTGGGCAAGAAGGGGTCAATAAACTTGTGAGACTAATAGAGAAATCAGTGGGAAAGACAAATTCTCTTTATAATGAATAATGAGCTAGATATCTTTCTAGGGTAAAACTTCTCACTATCCATTTTTTCCTTTCTACGCGTAGATCTTTACCTGGCCTTACCTTCTTTCAATCGTGGAAGCTGTTTACAATATCTGTAAGATTTTTTAGAATCTCAAATGAATACCCGACTTTTGAAAGATTTTAAAAGTCTAAATTAAATTGACTTAAGTACATACAAGTATTGATATTGTTTCAGAAATGTCAATAATGCAATATAGCTTTTTAATTACCATTTCAATCGTTTTAAGTTTTCTTAATTCCATAAATACATAGAAAGTAGATAATGATAGATATTTTTCGTGCTTGATTGCTTTCCTAATAATCTGCATGCAACTTACACAAAGATTATGAATCTCTCTCCTAAATAATTATCATTCTCTCATCTCTTTTATAGATATCTTTTAACATATTATCTCTTCTTCGTATCACTTGCCTTTTTTCCTTCTTCCTAACATATCTATCACACACACACATGAATTTTACAACAAACCAAAAATTACAGACTCCGTTTCCGAAAAAGATCTTCAGACACACATTTTAAATTTATTTTTAGTTTAATTGTTGTATATTCAAAATATGGTTTAATTGAAATTCTATTATAAAATAGAGTTATCATTGGTTTCATGTTTACATCTTATAAAGTCATTTTTAGACATATATTTTAGGTGTATTTTGAGTTTATTTGTTGTTAATTTATTACAAATATGGTGATCTAGTTTTGGTTTATTTTTTGTTTATGTGCCCCTTATTAAGAATAAACTTGTTGAATTTATAATTAAAGAGTAGATGGAAAATGTGGCTTAATGTATAATTTTGCTTAGCGAGATGATATTCACAATCCTACAAAAGTTATCCAAAACATTTAAATTTCAAGGTACAAACCACGAGATCCTTCAAATGATACACAAGTCTCATCTCTCCTTCATGCTCCTGAACAACTTAATCCCTACTATCCTACCCAGCAAATACTAGCCAATGTAGATGTNAAAAAAAAAAAAGTACACGCATTCCCCAAATTAGAAATTCAATACCAGCTTGCCTACAAGTTCTAGTAGTTTAAGTCACTACTCATCATTGGGTCTCGTCTTTAGAATTTGAGTCCATCCACGTACAACTGCCATCTTCCTTCAGATTCAACCTCCACCTTGGTCCCTTCTTGGGTAAAATCTGCTAGAACCTGGGTCTTGATTGCCCGACCTAGTAGAGAATGGAATACTCGCTCAGCTCCATTGCCCACTTTACTAGACGACCTGAAATAGAAGACCGACGCAACGTCTCCCCCAACGTTATGTTTGTCCTTACTTTCACCTTGTGGTTCAAAAAATAAGGCTTCAATTTTCTAACTGTGACCATCACAGCTAGTGTGCACTTCTCGATTTTTGAATACCTCAACTCGGCTCCTTGCATTACCCGACTAACATAATAAATCGGGTATTGAGCTACTCCTTCTCGCAACAAGACCGAGCTAACCGCTGCTGAACCAATCGAAATATACAAGACCATGTCTTCTCTATGAAATGGATTGGCCAACAAAGGTAAATCCGCCAATACAACTCTCAACTCCTCGAATGCCTTCTGCACCTCTTCAGTTTATTGAAACTTCAAGCTCTTCTTCAGAGTCCTAAAAAGAGGACTACTTCGCTCGACCACTTTAATAAACCTGTTCCTGCGATTCAACCAGTCAAAATTCGCACTTCCTTCACGCTCTTCGAGGCTTTCATCTCCAAGACAGCTCGCACTTTCTTCGAATTCATCTCGATCCCATTCTTGGTCACCATATACCCGAGAAACTTGCCTGATTTCACCCCAAATGAGCACTTAGTTGGATTAAGCTTCATACCATACTTCTACAGAGTGGTGAAAGTCTCCCTTAGGTCGGCTACTGACCGCGCGTCGCAACGCGTCAAAATTATAATTTATATTTTCCTTAACCAACTTCTACTAGCTAGTAGTAGTAGTGAGCAAGGGTCGAACCCACAAGGAGTGTGAATCAAATTGTGAATTTTCTCGTATTAATTGAGTTATAAAAGTAATAAAAGAGGGAGGATTTTGAAATAATAACTAAACTAATTAAATATAAATAAGAAAATAAATAAAATTAATGAAGAGAAAGCTTCTAGTCTACGGTTCCGTCTACACCCTCAACTGACCCGTCTAACCAATTTTAGTATCAAATCTCGCTATCTCATGGAATTACTAGCCCTAGGTAACGACACGGTCTGTTACCCGAATTTTTTCTTAATTTTAATTTAACCGCGAGACGCTCTACGATTAAACCTGACTTCTTGTACAGTCCAGAAAAACGTTTTCAAGATTTAATACAATTAGTCGCTTTACGAATTTATATTTTCCTTAACCAACTTCTACCAGCTAGTAGTAGTAGTGAGCAAGGGTCGAACCCACAAGGAGTGTGAATCAAATCGTGAATTTTCTCGTATTAATTGAGTTATAAAAGCAATAAAAAGGGGGGATTTTGAAATAATAACTAAACTAATGAAATATAAATAAGAAAATAAAATAAAATTAATGAAGAGAAAGTTTCTAGGCTACGGTTCCGTCTACACCCTCAACGACAGTCTAATCAATTTTAGTATCAAATCTCACTATCTCATGGAATTACTAGCCCTAGGTAACGACACGGTCTGTTACCTGAATTTTTCCTTAATTTTAATTTAACAGCGAGACGCTCTACGATTAAACCTGACTTCTTGTACAGTCCAAAAAAACGTTTTCAAGATTTAATACAATTAGCCGTTTTACGAATTAAAAAAATAGACTAGACTAAGTAGTGAACTCAACCGCGTACGTTCACTTAAATCGGCCGTGTTATCCCCGGTAGTTACCATCTTCCGGTTACCTCTTATGAATTAAACACAACAACAATTACGGATTGTATTTCTAACTCAGATGTAGATATGAAAAGCCTAATCTAGGTGATCAATCTAAACAAGACTAACACATCATGGTAAATTATTCAAAATAACACAAGCAATTTCCAAAAGACAACTAAATTATCAACCATAAAAATCAATCAAAACATAGTCAATCGTAGGGTTCGACTTTCCCGTAACTAGAAATAAAAGCTAGCCTAACATACTAATAAAAATAAAAGAAAGAGAATAGAATTATCCTCTTTCGTGTGCGGGTGCGGCCTCCCTCCGCTTTCGTCGGACTTCCTCGTCTCCAAGTGCGCCTCCTGTTGATACCTAATTTGGCTCCCATTAAATAAATGATAAATTAAATAATAAAATACGGCCCAATAACCGAGGAGCCGAAAATACATGATAAATAAACACACAAATAAGTTATCAAAACAGATCACGCAGAAAGCCGGACGGATCCCTAGATGTTGAGTCTGCCCGCTGCCGAGCCGGACAGAGTTGAAAATAATCGGATGGCTCATACACCACGAAGAAACCGCTTTCGATAAACGCGACAATTGCTGAAAAGACGGACGCCAATTAATATCGTCAAAGGTCATAAGCGGGTCCTACGATAACCATTTTACATCGAATAATGTACCAGTTGCTATATATTTTATTAGCCCACTTGTAAAAGTGGAGATGTATATATATGGAATGGGGAGGAGAGAGAAAGGGACTTTTCTCTTCCCTTCATTCTTCATTTTTTCCTTCCCACCTAACAGAAGAGAGAGGGCACGGGGCGGTTGGATGGCTCTCTCAATTTTTTCACATTTTTCCCAAAAACATAAGAAATAAACACTCATTTCCATCTATTTTGTTCTTCATTTTTCATATATAGATTCGAATTATATTTGACGGTTGATCGTCCGATTTTCGATTTTCTCTCGCTGCGTGCGTGAATGCTTCTTTTTCAAATAATTCCTCCCTGTCTGTGTATGAAAGGGCTGCGTATTTTATTATTCCTCGTTGCGCAAGTCTCTCCGCCAAATAATAATAATATGGCTAACCCCTTTTTATTTGGTAAATAAGTTCTCCTAATCCTTCTCTCCTTGGGCTGCGTGAGTCCTCTTGCCAGTAATATTAATTTCTTTCCTCACTTATGACATTCACAGCCCAACATCAAAAGAAATTAAAATGAGAAAATTACTCCCCCTATTAATTATTTGACACATAATATCAAAAATACGAGATGATAAACTTTTCATCACAAATACCGATTGAGATATATCCCACCCACTCTCTCTCTCCCTCTTTCTCTCTCTCGAACTTTCTCGCAATCCCTCTCTCTCTCTCTCTCTCTTTCCCTCTCTGATGCGTGGCTCGCCGAGCAGAACTTTTTCTGCCGCACTGGTGTGCGAGAAGAGGAAGAACTCCTCAGCGGAAACAAAAATCATCAAGAAATTTATGATCGGCGGGAAGCGCTCCAAGTTGTACTGACAAATGAAGAAATCTCTTCCTCGATCGATTCAGTTCATCGAAGATGATGATGTAAGAGGTAAACAGATGCCAGATCCAAGAATGGTACTCCAAATTCAAATCCTCATACATCAAAACCCTAATCCACGAGCTCCCGGACCCCTTCGTCTGCTACCTCCTCAACAACACCGGCCCTGTGTATTATGTTTTAATCCCTTTCAGAATTGTTTATATGTTGTTTATCTTATGTATAACTATACGTTTAATAATAGAAAATGTGTATTATGTTTTTAATCCCTTTCAGAATTGTTTATATGTTGTTTATTTTACGTATAACTATATGGTTAATAACAAAAAATGCCAGATAATGTTTATCTTAGGTATATATACAGTATATCTAAACATATATTTTGGCTCAGCGGCTATTTCACGATCTTTTTTCAGAAACAACACTATCGATTTTCTTTTTTCCAGCTTATCAGTGTTTTTTTTTTTCTGACTGCAAAAATTCTTTGAACTGTAAATCCCGTTTCGGATTTTGAATTTGTAATTACCTGAATTATAGGTATCAAAATCGTTTTTGAAACTTCGATTTCTGATGCGTTGATTTCAGAGACATATTGCCATGATCAAGATTATGGAGAGAGAGAAACAGATATAAATCATTATCTCGTAATATTGAAATAAAAAACAGATCCTAATCCTATTTTGATAAATGTTTGCTCGGACTGTATATATGTAAATATGTATACAAGGGGGTCTATGTATGTAATTTTTCCAAAAATATGTGATGCGTATTGATTACATTTGAGAAATTTACTTCCTTTACAGGACATTGACTAATAATATCACATTTACGAGTACACAAAATTTTCATCAAATTTACGTGTGTAATTAAAATAATGTTAATAGGTCAAGTGGTTAAATTTGGCCTGATTACCCGTTAATGTAATATTAATTATATTTATGTAAATAAATCACATGTTCTCTCTCCATATCTCGTATATTAGTGCAGACCTTCATCTCTCACTAAAGCAACCTTTCATCTCTCGTACAGAAAAATTGAAGCCAAATCTCCGACCGAGGGCCGTGGCTCGACAGATCGACTGAAGTCGTGGGTAGCTGTCGACAACATTTAGAGGTAGAAGACTTGGCCATATGAAGCAGAAGGAAGAATCGAAGCCAAATCTCCAGATGAATCTCCAGCCGACATCCACTACCATATGAAACAGAAGACTTAGCCATATAGATCGGAGGACTGCCACTTCACATCCCTCCCCTTCATCCGGAAAACTCCCAGTGACGCCCCGACAAAACCCCTCTAGAACCACCTCTCCCTATTCTCCGCGAGAGCTCAATCGCCGCCTCCAGCGGCATGCCCCGATTTCGCAGCGATACCGTACGATGTCGTCCCGAGGATCGAGGCTTCGTTCAGAAAATCAAACAAAAAACATAAGGTGTCCGACGAGCATGACAGTCCTCCTCTCTATTATAGTGATTAGATGTGTTGCAATAATATTTTGTGAATCAAATTATAATTCATACTTGTTTGTTAATTGTGAATTTGTCTTGTTTGGATTTTTGGGAATGTTTTTTGTGCCTGTGTAGTGATTTGTCAGTGGCATTTTTGTTGGATTTTTTTTGGTATTATTGGCATGATGTTTTGTTGCAGTTTTTGCTTTTTCTTTTTCCCCCTTTTTCTGGTGAACTTCAGTGAAGGAATATTGGTTCTATTGCTTTTGGATATTTTATTTGCACGATGTTAATCTATCAAAATGCACTTTTCGAACCATTTTTTCTATCCGGTATTGTAATTTTATCTTATGTTTTTAAGAGACTTACACACACATACTTTAAGTAATGTGTTTACCTAAGTATATTATACCGGGTTGTAAACACAAATAGAGACATACGCACACATACGTGTTTAACTAATGTATATTACATCGTGTAGTAAACATTCGGGTAGATAAACACACATACCGTGTATTGCACATATACATATAGGGTGGCGCTCCCATGAGAATATATATATATATATATATATATATATATATATATATATATATATATAGGGTGGCGCTCCCATGAGAATGGTGCTCAGTGAAAGAAATGAGAATGTATCGTAGCCGTGAGATCGGATGATCTAATGGTTAAATAAAAAGTCAATATTATATCTTTATTAATGGTATTTTAGACATTTTACCAACAATAGTGAACCCCACCACTATCTACCACACGCCAGCCGCCTACTTTCACGAGTTCCTATCTCTCCATCTCTCCTCTATTTCTTTCTCTCTCTCTTTCTCTCTCTCTCTCACACACACAAAACGACACACACGCACAACTCACGCAGATTTCCAGAAAAAAAAAGAAAAAAACTCACGCAGATCACTGCCGATCCGCCAGCACCACCGCCTCCCAAACTTCGGCTGCGTTCAATCGAAGCCGCCATCTCCAGTCGCCGCCGTTGCCTGAACCGAGACCGACATGTTCTCCACATCCGCCGACCGCCTGTCACACCGCCACCGCTCGCCTACCACCGCAGGCAACCGCTGAACACACGCCAGTCCCGCCGCCACCACCGGCTACCTCCGCCGCAACCACCTTCAAGGAGGAGCGCCTCCGCAAACCGGCCACGATTCCACAGGTGCTCCGGCGCGTCTGAAACCAAAGGCACTTCGACGGCGAGGCTAGCCTGAGGCAGGAGACGGCTGTGAATGGTTGATGCGGGATGACGGGAAAGAGATTTGAGTTGGGGGGTTTACAACTGAGAATTTGATACTTCTCAGGGGCCTTAGTGCAATTTTAAATATATTAATATATTTATAATATAATTAATGACTTAAATTACAATTAATTAAGGTGCTAATAAATGCACATTAAAGTTGTGATTGCTACAATGAATTGATGAAGCACGTGAATTGATGAATTGAATGGATAGAGAGGACAAAGTATTTGAATATGTTACAGTTTTGCTATGGAGCCATTGGATGGCTCGGTTTATAGAATCATCGACACTTATTCACCAATAGTGTATTGACACGTGTCCTGCAATAAATATATTTTGGATAGGTGTCAATACATTAAGTGGTGGATGGCTCCATAAGAAAACCATCCAATGGCTCCATAGAATTTTTGGAATATGTTATCATGTATTATATTAAATAATATATAAATTATTAAATAAAAATAATATAAAAATATTTTGTATACTAACTAAATTATATAGTAAAGTATAATAAATAAAAAGTTATTCTAATTATTTATGTGAATTCGATGTATAAATATACACATAATTTATTTGAGAGGTATAAATTAACTAGTGCACTTTATAGAATAACATGTTGCACTTTATAAAACAACACTTGCACTTTATCACAAATTCTATCTACAAAAAACACAAGCATGTTAACATGCCAGAATTAATGCGATTCGTTGTATATAGTAGTACGTTGTACCTTATAACATAACTAGTGTTACTAATATATATTTTTTATATAAAAAAAATAGCACTTCAAATTCACATTAGTGTTAGACTTACTGCACGTTAATGACTTATAAATTGCACTTTAGCATTAGACGGGTTGCACATTATCGACTGTCGGATTGCACTTTAGCGATCCAGGCCGGTTGATTTTTTTTTTTTGTTCAAAAGTTGTCTTTGATCTATTATGTTGCACTTTATATAGTAATACATTGCACCTTATAACATAACCGCTGTTACTAACATATATTTTTTATAAAAAACAAATACACTTAAAATTCACATTAGTGTTAGACTTATTGCACGTTAATGTCTTCCAGATTGCACTTTAGCGTTGAACGAGTTGCATATTAGCGACAGTCGGATTGCACTTTATCGACCGAAGTCGACTGACTTTATTTTATTTTTTTGTTCAAAAGTTATCTTGGATCGATTATATGTGTTTACCTTTAAAATTTTAGTAATTTCAGTTCGATGTGAGATTTATTTATTTATTTATTTTTTAAATACCCGAAAAACTGGACCGACTAAACTATATAAAAAAAATATTATTTTTATATTTTTTAAATAATAATATTATTTTTCCAATCAAAATAATAAAATGTTATATAAAAATATTAATGTGCAATTTAAATAACATTAATGTGCATTTATCAAATAATAATTTACACTTTCTTTATCATTATTATGTATTTAATATATTTTTGTATAAATTATAGATTTAACCCATGTACGAAATTGAAATTTGATAAAAACTCTAGAATTGCAATTAAGTCATTTAAACTTATCAAGTTCATAAATATATGCCCAAAAAATTCCTGCGGATCTGCAACTGGACGTGTGCAAATTTTTTTCACATTCACCAGCAACAATTCTTCTCATCGTGAACGTCGGGTTTTCATAATCGCCGGCCATCCGGTAACGAACGTACTCCGGCAATGACGGCGGCGGAGGTCCTCACGCTTCCGGCGACCATCTCGAAGGCGTCCGTTAGGCCGGAGGTGGGTTGCGCGGCCCCGAAGCGGTGGTATTCCGCCGACCAGCGTTGCGTCGAAGCAGAACGGCCAGTTACCGGCGTGAAGCTTCGGGCTATGGCTGACAGCGGGCGTCTCCGGCGGGCATTAATCTTGCGACGCAGAGGTGGTACTGCAGATGCAGGTCATCAAAGGGGCTGACGGCGGTCTCTTGGTGGCGGAAGACGAATGTGAGCCGGCGGGCTGGTGGTGATGTGCCGTTACCGGACGTGTGTGTGTGTGTGTGTGTGCGTGATTTGCAGTCGTCTCTGATCTTCCCGGTCGTCACATTGTCGGAATCAGAGAAGTTTGCCACAGCGGGCTGGAGTCGGCGAAGACTTGACTGACGATTATCGAGGCGGCGGTGATGTTGACGGATGGCGGCGGGCCTGTTGTCCCTGAATTTCCCGGCGAGTGCTTTTGTGTGTATACGGTGTGAGTTGTGTGTATGTGTGTGAGAGAGATCAGGTTAGTGGTAGTGGTAGTGGTTATATTGTGTGATGGCTGATTTGTCCTCATTGAGTGGGTAAATGATAAAATTAGACCATCATATGCACAATTATTTACAAGAATGCCATTAATGTTTGACTGCACTTTTGAAAATTTAATTTGATCATGACCATTAATATGTGTGATCTAAGGGTACAGATTTATTCTTATTTCTTTCATTATGTTTCATCCTCATATGATCCTTTCTCTCTCTCTCTCTATATATATACACATAAGATAAACAACATATAAACATATTTTTTATTCTGCAACATTATACTAAAAGTAAGCAATAAGTAAACAACCATTAAGGAAAGATTATAAACTTCAACAATATCATTACAACTTAAAAAGTAACAGAAAGTTATATATAAACGGTACATAAACAGAATAGCCGAACATCCACAGGTAAATTTGGACATCACGCTCAGAAGGAGCTAAGTTTATATACATAAACGGTATATAAACGGTACATAAACAGAATAGCCATCCACAGGTAAATTTGGACATCACGCTCAGAAGAAGTTAAGTTTATATACATAAACGGTATATAAACGGTACATAAACAGAATATCCAAACATCCACAGGTAAATTCGGGCATCACGCTCAGAAGAAGCTAAGTTTATATACATAAACTGTATATTAACGGTACATAAACAGAATAGCCGAACATCCACCGGTCCAGGTCGCGCGACCACCGGCCTCCGCCAGCCTCCATTAGCCCAAGCCCAGGGACGCAACCGCTCGTCTATGAGTTTCTTGAGTTGTGTCGCCGTAATCAGCCATGAATCTGAGACACCGTCTGGTCGCTCGCCTATGAGTTTCTTGAGTCGTGTCTCCGTAATCAGCCATGAATCTGAGACGCCGTCTGGTCGTGTCGCCATAATCAGCCATGAATCTGAGACACCTCTTGGCAATTAAATGCGTGTTTATTGGTTGGAGAGAGAAGGAGATTTCAAGGTGAGAGATTTAAACAATTAAATGCGTGTTTATTGGTTGGAGAGAGAAGGAGATTTCAAGGTGAGAAATTTAAGCAATTAAATGCGTGTTTGTTGGTTGGAGAGAGAAGGAGATTTCATGGAGAGAGAAGGAGATTTCAAGGTGAGAGATTTAAGCAATTAAATGCGTGCTTGTTGGTTGGAGAGAGAAGGAGATTTCAAAGTGACAGAATAAATCTTGTAGTTGTGAAAAAAAAACCCAACACCAAGTCCATTTTGATTGAACTCTTTTCTGATCGTATAAATGATAATATTTATTATATTGTGTCTATGTATGTAAATTTCCCAAATTAAAATACCCTCAAGATTAATGTTTTAGTGGGCCTTTAGCTCCATGATTAGTGGGCTGGTGTGGTGAACCCCGTACTGGCATGGTTGGTGACCGCGCGTCGCAACGCGGCAAAATTATAATTTATATTTTTCCTTAACCGACTTCTACCAACTAGTATTAGTAGTGAGCAAGGGTCGATCCCACAGGGAGTGTGAATCAAATCGTGAATTTTCTAGTATTAATTGAATTATAAAAGGGGGATTTTGAATTAATTACTAAACTAATTAAAATTCTAATGAAGCAAATAAAATCTAAACAATGAAAATAAAAATAAAAATAATAAATGAAGAGAACTTTCTAGTTCACGGTTCCGTCTACACCCTCGACTGATTCGTCTAATCAACTTTGGAATCAAATCTCGCTATCTTATGAAACTACAAGCCCTAGGCAACGACACGGTCAGTTACCCGAAATTTTCCTTAATTTTAATTTAACCGCGAGACGCTCTACGATTAAACCTGACTTCTTGTACAGTCCAGAAAAAACGTTTTGAAGATTTAATACAATTAGCCGCTTTACAAATTAGAAAAATAGCTAAACTACGTAGTGAACTCAACCGCGTTCGCTCACTTAAATAGACCGTGTTATCCCCGGTAGTTACCATCTTCCGGTTACCTCTTATGAATTAAACACAACAACAATTACGGATTGCAGGTTTAATTCAGATGTAGATATGAAAAGCCTAATCTAGGTGATCAATCTAAACAAGACTAACACATCATGGTGAATTATTCAAAATAACACAAGCAATTCCAAAAAGATAACTTAATAATCAACCAAGAAAATCAATCAAACATCATCAAGTCGTAGGGTTCGACTTCCCCGGAACTAGAAATAAAAACTACTCTAACATAATAAATGAAAAGAAAAAATAAATAAAAGAGAGAGATTAATTATCTCCCTCGTGTACGGGTGCGGCCTCCCTCCGCGATTGATCGGGCTCCTCGTACTTTTCCTCTGTCTGCGTCTTATTCCCGTATGCCTGGCTGCGTATCTCTATTTTTTCAATAATGATGGGTGGCTGCGTGGGTGTTTGCGTGAAAAATAAAACTCTCCCGTCAAAATAAATCCTTCTCAATATATTATTGCCTTCCAATAGTTGAATTAATTCCAAACTTCCTCCAAATAAATCTCCTCTGATGCTTGTGGCGTGAATGTCCACTTTCTTTATGGAAAATAATCCCAACTTATGTACAGGGCCCACCAATTCAATCCTATTCCTTGTTGGATCCGTATATAATCTTAGCCCATTTTTGCGTGAATCTCCCAGGTCTTCAAATAATTATAATATTAGGCCTTAATCACTTAGCCTTAGCTCAACTCACTAGTAATTCCTTGGCCCGTTTCGTCGTCCATAAAAATACTCCAATATCCTGAAAATAAAACATAAATATATCAATGCACCGGAATCCATCTAAAGAAATAAATAAGTCGAAAAATATAAGTGCGATTAAATTTAGTGTATAAAAAACACACCATTAAATATATAAACGTGCACATTTTTCGACCTATCAGTTGGTTTTCGTTTGACACTACGCCACCAATAAAAAATGCTCCAATATCCTGAAAGTAAACCACAAATATATCATAGCACTTAAATCCATTCATTAAATAAATAAGTCGAAAAATAATAAGTGCGATAAAATTAAGCATATAAAAATAAGCTAATAAATATATAGAATACACACTTTTTCCAACCAATCAGCTACATGTTCTCCCTCTTCTTTGCTTTTGACCAACATATCATCAGCATTTACCTCCATATTCCGCCCTAGCTGCTCCTTAAATTTTTTATCGACTAGACGCTGATATGTTGTTCCCGCGTTCTTCAAATCAAAATGCATGACCACATAACAATATGTTCATTTGCTCGTAACGATACTCACTCTTTTCCTATCTTCCTTTGCCAACGGGATTTGATGATAGCCCTATTGAGGAGCTCGCAACCAGCAGTAGAATCGACCAACTGGTCTATCCTCGAGAGTGGATATAAGTCTTTTGGGCACGCCTTATTTAAGTCTCTAAAATCAATACACATCTGCCACTTACCCTCGGATTTGGATACCATTACAGTATTCGACAGCCACTCAGGGAATTGGATTCCAACCACATGTCCCGCCGTGAGCAGTTTGTCGTCCTCCTTCTCTATAACCTTATCCATCTCTGCTCCGTGGTGCCTCTGCTTTTGGCGCACAGGTCGAACACTAAGATCAATATTCAACATGTGCTCACTGATCCTCGCACCAATCTTAGGCAATATACGCGAAGATATCAGTGAACTCCCTGATCAACCTTATAAGCCTTGATCTCAGCGGCTCTCCCAAGTCCTTTCCAATCTTGAATGTTCTATCATCACATCCTTCGACCATCTGTATTTCCTCAATTTTCTCAACCCGTTGAATGTCCACCTTCTCCTTCCCTTTATCAAACTTTGACCTCTCTTCCTTTGTTCTCCTGGCTATTTGTCGATTGTTACTTATAATGGTCTGATAACAACTCCTCGAGGTTAGCTGGTCACCCGTGATCTCCCCCATATTTTTGCCCACTGGATATTTGATCGTCATAAGGTAGGTCGAGACCACAGCCTGGAAAGCATTCAGGCTAATCTTCCCCAAAATAATGTTGTACGACGACTCGGCACCGACCACAACAAATCGCACCATTCTGACCTTACGAGTCGCCCTTGACCCTAGGGCGACTGGTAGAGTAATCTCCTCCATAAGAACCACCTCACTTTCATTGAATCCATACAAAGACATCATGACTTCCTTTAATTCTAAGTTCAAATCGAGATGTTTAAAACAATCATAAAACATTACATCCACCGAGCTTCCTGTATCGATAAAGACACGCTTTATATCATACCCTGCCACCTCAGCTGTTATGACCAGGTGTTTAGTAGTTTAGAGTGAGAGTAATTAGTAACCAAGTAATTCAAGCCTCGGGTCGTCTCTAAATGATTAAGCTTTAATTAAGGTCTCAACCTTTAAAACTAGATAAGCACGTAATTAACTACTATAATCACTTAGGTTAACAATAAAAACAAAAAGCTCCAAACTTTTCGTCATCCATCAAACAAACACCCAAATTTACTTTGAAAATAATTCATAAGCAAAAACGAGACATACACGAGGTAATGAGGCTAAAAGCTAGTACCCACTCCTTTATCGCGTGCTAGACGAGAATTGGAACAAAAAACTTGAAAGTTGAATAAAAACGATGTTGCCGGAAAGTCGCCGAAAAATGATATCATAGAGCTTATAGCTCGCACTCAATTCAAAAGTAAAAAATAAAATTAATCAATATCCTGTACCAATTCGAGCTGACAAATGAGAAATTTAAAACATACTTAAGATGCATATTTATAAAAAAATATATTTATTTACTTTCATTAAAATCTGTTTGTAATACTTTCTTAACTTTTCAAATTTTAAATACTTAATATTTTTATTTGTTACCCTTAGTATGGCTTCAAATCAATAAAAAATTATTCATTATATATTATGTTGTGTGCACATAATTATTATGAAAACTGTTATTAATGTTATAAAATATAACACATATAATATAATTATCATTTAATTGATAATAATTAATATTTTGTTTTCAAAACAAACAAAATGCGTCTAGGTTGAAAAGTATTTAATTATTTAATTATTATTATAATAACTGAAGAAGGGGTAAGAATGATGTTCTACGTAATAAAAAATTAAGACGACACGTTGAGAAAGCTTATAGCTCGCATTCAATTGAAAATTAAAAAAGTAATAAAATTAATCAATGTCTTATTTCAATTGGAGTTAGCGGATGAGAAATATGCAACATACTTAAGATGCACATTTATAAAATATGTATTTATTTTTTTCATTCAAAATCGGGATGTCCGACTTGATTTTTTAAGTTAAAAGTTTACCTACTTTCTACCATTAAAATTTTCAATTTTCAAGTATTTAATATTTTTATTTGTTACCCATTTTAAATGTACTATATCACATCATTATTTTATAAAGATGTTTGATTTGACCAATGTATTGTAAATAAAATAAAGTAATATGATTATTTTCATTGATATAAAATAAAAAATATATATTTATCATACTAATTTAAAATAATAAATGAAACTAAATGTATCTTGTAAAATAAATTATAAATCCATGTCATATAAATTTTAATAAGTACAAAATAACATATGATAACATTGTGGTATATTTTTCTCACATAGATTTAAAATATTCATTTTAAAATAAATTACAAAAGGAATGTAAACGTAAAACTATTACCAACATTAACTATATGAATTAAAAGGAGAAATAAATGAGTTGTAAGTTAAACTATTATTTAATAAATGATTGAAAGGGAACACCATAATGGTCGTAACATATATTTCATGTGAATATGAAAATGAGTTAGTTACTTAATATTTTATCAAATATTAGAAAAAATAAAAAACTTTTTAATCTTATAAGCAGTATAAAACTACACTTTTATCAAATAAATTATTATAAATAAATTAACAAATAATATTAAATAGTATTTTATCTTACGTGGTTATTTGGTTGTAGCCTAATAAATAAGATGTTTTGATAACAACGTCGTTATATACAATACGTAAAAAAAACAGATGCATTACATATAAATGTGCTTTAATTATTTTAATAAATAAAATATTATTTGCGAATAAAATAAGATCAAAATAAAACAATAGTCATGCAATAGAGAGAAAAAAAGTCTGAATTTTCTTAGAAAAATATGAATATCATTATGTAGAAACAAAAGTCTTTTGAAATTACTACTTTTTTGTTGCTAGCGTTTAAATATATGGACTCTGTAAGAAATTGTTAATAATGACTTCGTAATAATAAAGTTCACAAATGACTAAGAACATCATAATATAATAGAATTATAATTATTCTCCACTCAAATATTTTGACAAATGATATGCTTCTCTATATTGTCTCATTGTTTTGTTTTGTCTTGTTTTATTTTGTTTTGTCATTGTTAAAGAATCAAGAAAAAGTTCTTCATCTTGAATTTTTTAAGCATTATGTATGATGCAAAAAGTTGGACAATAAAAGCATTAAAGAAGTTATTAGAAACATAAATATTTCAAATCTGAACGAATGTGAAGGACATTATGATAAACAACTCTAAAATTATTTTTTTTTAGGCATGATAGATTCATTAATAAAACACATATTTATAAGAGGCTAACTAGCTGAATGAACTAGCTACATCGATGAATTCAGATTGGAGGACATCTCAAAGGGAAGCCTAGACTACCACAAACACACCTACAATAATAATACAATTACTCCCACTAGTGGAGAATACGACTCCCACAAAGGAGAATAACACCCAAAAGAAACACAGGCAAACACATATCACACACCAACAACAAACTAGCAATAACTGGAATATAGCCCTCCCTGCTCCCTCCCCGCTAGCAGACCAACCACACCAAACCTCACCACTCGAACCTCCCAAGGCGGACCAAAAAGGCAGAAAGCACGACCCGAGATTCGGATCCATAAACTCCTTCATTTCAACAACCAAGATGGTCATTGATTTGCGACAATAGATTATGTAGTTCTTATTCTTATATCTTCCACACAAATAACATTGAAAAGAGAATGTCGAGCCTGATCAAATTATTTTTGAATGTTTAAATGAAGTTGTTACTTTTTGATATGAATGTTTACAATCTCATTCGTGTATTATGGTCGAACATATATGCGCGCAATTACTTTAGAATACATTCATATAATGTGTGATGATTTCAAAAAATAATTTAGCATCTCAAAAGAAGTACATGTAACCAAGATTTTGGAAAGTCAACTTTTATTTGAAGATGAAATTTGTTCCCACCCCATAGCGGTGCCTCCATATGGTAGGTACCAATTTGTTGTATAGAGAGAGGATAATGTAGTAATTTATACAATGATTAAAGAACATATCAGTAATTTTAGTGACACATGTGGTTATTCCACAGAGATATTCATGAACTGTTAGTATAGAAATAATATAAAAAATGCTACAATCATGAAGTTTGACATTGTTTGAATAAGGTAGACGTTTTGTCAAATGAACAAAGAAGAATTTTATAATACTATTGATATATTGGACTTCAACGAACGTTTCTTATGAGAAAGTCAAAACCAAAATGATTGAAAACCACTCTTGAATCATCTAACATAAACAAATTAAAGAACTAATTAATACATCTAAAATATACATTAGGTTTAGGTCCTTATATAGTTATATAGTGTTTTTTTTCTATCAGAGACTCATTTTTCATATATTTGTCTTGGGGGTGTAATTTGTTATTTCATTATTTTTATATTATAACATCATTATATTATATTTGATACAAAAACACATTAAGAGCTCATTTGTTCTATATTTTATGTCGTGCATGTGATAATATATTTAATAAATTAATTAATTTATTATACAAAACTTAATCAATACAAAATATTTAGCACTATGTGCATGCACGTGCACTTAACCAAAAAAAAACAAAAAAGAGAGAGAGAGAGAGTTGGCCAAATACCGATGTGCTGAGGTTAAATTAAACATGTTACAAAAATATATCCAACTTGATGCTAGACCCTTGAGATCTCAAATTTATTAAGGAAAGATTCCTCATCCTGTGTCGTTGACTTGGCACCTTCGAGCGCCTAACGCGGCAATCTAAAGTAAATGGCCTAGAAGTCAACTTCCCAAGCTAAGTGACCAATATTTATGTTTACATTAAATACCAATTTACAGTGCATCTCATATTGAAAAACTTTCAGGGGATTGGTAAACAGTCAACGCTTAAATCCATCAAAATTGATCCCAGTTAAAATTAATTATTTTGAATACAATTGATTGGACCAAAAGAGAGATTGCAATTAAATAATATTTAAAATTTAATGATTAAAGTTGAGTATCATGTAAAAGTAGGAGAAAAATTATAGAAATGATAGGTAGTACGAGAAATAGGAAAAAAATCGGACACTATGAACTTGTAGTACTTATAGTACTATGGACTTGTAGGGGATTTGACCCTCCTCTTTTATTTTCTTCGGCTATGTAGGAAAATAAGTCCTTCCAAACCTCGGTTTGTTTATAATAAAAAAATGTTACCGAACAAAGAAAAAAAGATATGAGTAGATGAATAGTAAATTAAACATGTATGAGACAGATAATTAATATTATTTAATTATATTAATAATATCGATGATAGTGAAGTTAAATTAATTTTTTTTTAGTTAAGTGAGAAAAAAAAAAAAAGAAGGGATCCAATCAAAACTAATTTTGATCAATTTCCACTTGTTCACGTTCCCAGTCGGTGCAGTAAAAACCTCTACATTGCGGATGTTTTCTATAAATTGAATTAAATGCTCCATTTCGAGAGAGACATAAGAGTGAAAGAGATGGGCAGTGAATATGAAGATTCATACAGCAACATGCCAAGAAAGGCAGCACAAAAGTGTCAACACAGTCCCCAAATGAAGCACAAGTTGTTGACTCTAATTCTAATCGTGGCCACCAATCTACTCACCATCTACATCCTCACAGGCCCCCACTCCAAATGCCAATACTACCCCACACCCACACCCACAATCCCAATCTCAACCTCTCAACCACTCCTCGACGAACTCAACGCGACCCGCTCCCAACTCACCCACCTCCAAACCGAGCTCAACTCGGCTCGCGCCCTACTCACCCAACTCACCCAACTCGCCCAACTCCCAACCCAGGACCACCTCCTCTCCGACGAAGCCAAACTCAGCCTCGGGCCCCACAAGCTCCCCTTCGGCCACAACCCCCGCATGGGCTCCGACCAGATCTACTTCTCCGTCGGCTCCGGCTGCCTTAAACCCGCCCTCGCCCACGACCTCAACAAATACATGTCTTACCAAATCGGCCGCGACTGCCCTTCCGACGACGCCCTCTCCCAATCCCTAATGCTCCGCGGTTGCGAGCCCCTCCCCAGACGCCGCTGCCACCCCAAATCCCCCCAAAACTACACCGAACCCGACCCGCTGCCCGCCAGCCTCTGGGCCACCCCGCCCGACACCAGCATCGTCTGGGACCCCTACACCTGCAAAAACTACACCTGCCTAATCAATAGACGGAATGGGCCGGGCTCGTACGACTGCAAGGACTGCTTCTATTTACAAGGCAGGGAAAGGGTTCGGTGGCTCCGCGACAATGGGGGGCTCGATTTCGGGATCGATCGAGTCCTTGCAACCAAACCAAAGGGCACGATTCGGATCGGGCTTGATATTGGGGGCGGGTCGGGCTCGTTTGCGGCCCGAATGATGGAAAGGAATGTTACGATTGTGACGACCTCAATGAATTTTGACGGGCCTTTCAACAGTTTTATTTCGTCACGTGGGCTGATCTCGATGCACGTGACGGTTTCGGAGAGGCTGCCGTTTTTCGAGAACACGCTGGATATCGTGCACTCGATGCACGTGATAAGTAACTGGATTCCGGATGTGATGATGGAGTTTATTCTGTATGACGTGTACAGGGTGTTGAGGCCAGGGGGGATTTTTTGGCTGGATAGATTCTTTTGCTTCGGGTCGCAGCTGAATGGGACGTATGTGCCGATGTTTGAGAGGGTCGGGTTTAGGACGCTGAGGTGGAATACGGGGATGAAGTTTGACCGTGGGGTGGATAAGGACGAGTGGTATTTCTCGGCTTTGTTTGAAAAGCCTATGTCTTGAGTTGTGTTTATGTGTGTGTAACTCGAAGTTGAAGAATTTGGCCATGCATGGAGCTATATTGGGAAGTGGGAACGTTGTTTTTGGACGACCAAGGTTGATAAGAAAGGACAAACCCCCAAAGGTAGTGTTATGTGCATGGATTTTTGTTTTTTAGTTGTCAGTGGAGTAGTTTGACATTTTGGAAGAGAAACATGGAATTACTTAGCTTTCAAGCAAAGACAGATGGGCGGTTTTAGTGAAACAAAGCTATGTTTTATTCTTTGTTTGTTTTTCCTTGTCTTGTCCTAACAGCTAAAATCCCAAAAATAAAGTAAGAAGAACTAGTTCCAGACCAGTGGAACCAAGAATAAGAAGATCTGGAGATAACTAAATTAATTACAGAAACTAAGAGCTATTTCTTTTATTTATTTTTCTTCCGAGTCTTTCACATGAAACTAAGCCCTTGTTTGTTTTGAAGGATGGGATTGGACTATTTTAGTGCAAATGTGAGGTATTACACTGTTGGGATAAATTTAGTGATATGTTTGTTATGTGTGATAAGGACGGGGATAACTTTTTGATTTTGTTTTAAAAAAAATCATTTAATTCAACAAAATTCATCTTTATGTTACAAAGTACTATTTTACCCTAAATTTCAATTGTAATTTATTAATTCCCAACCTTCTCCCAATTTGAGCAAACTGAACAAGGTCCTCTCAACCAAGCTGATAAATATGATGGTAAGAACTATGCAGATTTAACTCATTTTTTGTATCCATACAAATAAGTCACCCAGCAACCATGCCTNAACAACAATGAGTATAATGGACACAAACCCACTTCAAATGATTCAAGATCACAAGTAAACACATACAGGTCAAGCAAAATCACAAGGAAAAGATAACAAATTTTCAAGACCCCCACTATATATGACATAGATTTCAAAATATCAATACTTTTTTTGCGAATACTCGGTAAACAGAAATTCACCACATATTCAGACCCCATATTTCTAACAATAACAATTGACATTAACATCATTCACACCCGAGTACATACCAAAACTAAGTAAAATTAACAAATAAATTGATGTAAATCCTAAAGTTCTACCAGCAGCTTCTCACATCTGTACAATAGTTAATTCCCAGCAAGACACATAATTGCCGTTATTGCAGTCGGAACTTTCTGACACTTCCACAGACCGGAGAGGACTGTGCGTCTTCTTCATGCAGCGTCGGGCGGACTTTCTTCGCCGAGTGAGAAGACGCGAAAATAGTCCGAAAATTTGAGTGAGAATAACTTGTTTTGGGGCTAGGGTTATTGCGTACGCGATTCTGATTTCCTTTCTGGCCAAAAGTTCCTTTTTAGAGTGGTAAGGATGTAATTAGTGGAGTTAGGAAGGTTAAAATAGTCCGAAAATCAAAAAAATGAGGGCACATCAGACATTTTACTTTCCAGGATAAGTTCAATTCTACAAAAAACTCAGGATGGATTTATCCCATTATCATGGGATTAATTGCTTTTTCATCCCGGGCCTTGCCTTAATACCGGGCTTGAATCCTTTGTAACAAACGTAGGATAGCTGAGGGATAAACCAGGATATCCTGACTTATCCCACCAAACAAACAAGGGCTAAGAGCATAAATATTATGTGAACTTACAATGTTGTCTGCTTTTAGATTTCTTAATTATCTTGCAAAACCTAGAAAACGTGGTTGGTCCATTTATTTAGTGGACAATATTTTGAGGAATTTACACGCTCTAATTAAACAATTTGAAAATATTACATAATTACATTCCCTATATAATTATTTATAAATTAACTAAATTTGTTAAATTTATTTGTATATATGCCTAAAAAGCTGATTTCCTATTTACATGGTAACTTCTCATCAACTACGTCTCTCTCCTCCCTCCCCCCTCTCTCTCCTTCACACACGGCCCTCTCTCTCTCTCTCTCTCTTCTTCACACAAAACCCTCCACCGTCCGCGCCACCGCCACCTCACCGTCCGCGCCACCGCCACCTCACCGTCCGCGCCAATAGCATCAATCGAAACAGTCGACTCCTTCGATCCCCCTTCCAAGCCCAATAATATCAGTCGAACGACTGATTTAGTTGACTCCTCCGATCCCCCTTCACACAAGTCCGCCACCTCTTCTAATCCCCCTTCCGCCGCCGCGTCCGCCTCCGCCTCGATCAAGCACCGCCGCCCCGTGGGTGAGAGCATCCGCGACGAGGCCCTCCGCCACGACTCGTCCCATGGCTTCTCCGCCAAGTACGTCCCCTTCAACGCCAACCAATCCTCCACCGAGTCCTACTCCCTCGACGAGATCGTCTACCGAGCCATCCCCGCAGTTGTCTTCTCCAGGTAGGCGATCCGAGAATCATTTTCCATGGAGTCGACGAGAGAGAAGAGGAATATCTTTTTGATTGACCTGTCAACTTTTTTATTGTGGTATATTTGCGTAACTTTTCTTAAGAAAAGATAGATCGCGCCTCTATCGTTAAGTTGCGTTGTGGTATATGTACAATATATGATCAGTATAAGTTTAATATATACTTTTTTTTACCTGGCAGGAGGAAAAAATATACCTTGCTTTTAATCGATCTGTCAACCTTTTTTTTGTGGTATATTTGCATAACTTTTCTTAAGAAAAAGATCGATCGCGCCTCTATCGTTTGTGTTGTATTGTGGTATATATACAGTATATGATCATTATATGTACAGTGTATGTGAAATATATATATAGTCGACTGTTTCTTTTTATTGAGGTATATGCTGTGTGTGAAGTGTTATTGCTGAAAGTTCCGATAGACCCCCCCTTTGTTTTCTTTTTTCTTTTTTTGTTTTAGTTGTATATGTTCGTGAATTGTTATTGCTGAAACAAACGATTGATGTTGTGTTGTGGTATATATACAGTATATGATCACTGATCAATATATGTACAGTATATGNACGTTCGTGAATTGTTATTGATGAAAAAAAAGATCGACGCCCCCCTCTGTGTTCTTCTTTTTTTCTTTTGTTGTGTGTAGGGCTGCAAAACGAGTCGAGCGGCTCGTGAGCCGCTCGCGAGCGCTCGAGTCAACGCTCGACTCGAGCTCGAACTTGACCGAACTCAAGTCGAGCTCGAGCGGCTCGAGCATGAACTCGAGCCGAGCTCGAGCCTAAAATTTATAAGGTCGAGCGGCTCGTCGAGCAGCTCGAAATATACTCAAAAATACCTAAATACCCTTTATATATATAATTTGCAAAATTGCCATAAGTGAACAATGCTAATTTAATTGGCATATTAATATTCATTTACGAGACTTTCACACTAATCAAGAATCCAATTTCATTTCTTCTTCCCGTCACAAGTCGCAACTCGCAAGCCAGCATAGGTGATAGGACAAAACCCTAGTTCTCTTCCCAATTTCGTTTCCCCGCCGCCCCGCGCAAGCCATCGGCACTCTTCGAAAAATTGAAAAGAAATTGAAATTACCTTTGGCAGGAGTTTTTTTTCCTTCGCATTCGTCCTTAATCCATGGCTGTAGAAATAACTCGCAGCTAGCGAGAAGAACTTCGTGTCTAAGAGATGTAAGTTCCTCAATCTCTTTGAGGTAATTCGTTTTCTTTTAGGCTGTTGGTTAAATTTAGTTGCTAAATTACGGTGGGACTTTTTTTCTTGCAGTTTCTAATTATCTCCTTCCAAAGCTCTTCTTCTACCATTTTCAAAGATCTTCTTCTACAATTTGCAGCCCCGTTTAAGGTATCAGATTTTGTCTACATTATCAGGTTTAGCTGGATGTTAACGTTGCAATTCACTCAGGCTGTTAAGTTTGTGTCCACTATATTGATTATTGAGCTTGAAAGTTTATTATAATGAACTGACTGCGTGTCGCGTCACGGTCAAATTATAATATTTAATTTTCCTTAACCGACTTCTACCAACTAGTAGTAGTAGTGAGCAAGGGTCGAACCCTCAGGGAGTGTAGAATTTAATTGTAATTGTTTTCTTTAATTAAAATCATGAAAATACTAATAAAAGGGGGGGTTTTGGTGGAAATTAATTAACTAATAGAAATATGAATGACGGAATGAACTCAAATGCAACAAATAAAGATGATAATCAAATAAATGGGGAAGCTTCTAGTCCACGGTTCCGTCTACACCCTCGACTAACTCGTTTCATCAATTTTAGAATCAGATTTCGCTATCTCATAGAATCAGATTTCGTTACCCGAATTTTTTCTTATTTTTAATTTAACCGCGAGACGCTCGACGATTAAACCTGACTTCTTGTACAGTCCGGAAAAACGTTTTCAAGATTTAATACAATTAGTCGCTTTATGAATTAGAAAAATAGGCTAGACTAATTGGTGAACTCAACCGCGTTCTTTCACTTAATTAGGCCGTGTTATCCCCGGTAGTTACCATCTTCCGGTTACCGCTTATGAATTAAACACAACAACAATTACGGATTGCAGGCCTAATTCAGATGTAAATATGAAAAGCCTAATCTAGGTGATCAATCTAAACAAGACTAACATATCATGGTGAATTATTCAAAATAACACAAGCAATTCCAAAAAGATATTGAATTCATCAACCATAAATTAATCAAAACAAAGTCAATCGTAGGGTTCGACTTCCCCGGAACTAGAATAAAAGGACTACTCACTCATAGTGTTCAATAACATAATCATGAATTTAATTACACAAGAAAGAAAAAGAAAAGAAAAATAAAAGAGAATAAAATCTTCTCTGTTCGACTTGCTCCTCGCGATCTGTCTCTGCCTTTGTTCCTTTCTCGTTCAATTGCCTAGGTCTTTTTTTTTTTTCTTTCGCAATGTCCCAGTTAAGGAATAATAATAATCCCTCTCCAAGTCAAAGTCCTAATCTCTTTATATCCCCTTCTATGCCACGTCTCTCTGTCCCTTTTTATACCCCAAAGTCCAACAATTAATTCTTTTGACTTGGTCCACCCAGGCCCACTTCAGCTTTATTAATTGCAACCCACTTGGATTAATTCTTCTGCCATATTCGTGAAATGCATTGGGCTTCATTATGTGTATGGGCCTGCTGACCAGTACGGGGGTAGCTGGGTCAGTACTGGGCGACCCCGTACTCGCTGATAACACTTCTTTGTCCTTCTTCCGAGCACCCACACCTCATCGTGCAACATAAATAGCTCCATAAGCACTGAAAATCACTCAAAAACTCATCAAAGCACGAGAGTTGATCAGAATATCAAATAAGTCGAAAGATACATAAATGCGGGGAATTAAACGTGCACAATTACAACATTAGACCATTAATACAGGCACGTTTTTCGACTAATCATGAACGTATGAACATAAATCGTGACTTGAGTTGAGCTCGGCGTATGGATATATAATATCGGTGTAAATTTAGATCAGTGACATCATATGACATGTGGCGGATGAATTTTTTTTTTTTGTTTGATTTTGTACACGGTGCAATAATATGATCTTCTTTAAATTGTATGAGCTTCTGTTTTTTTCTTCTCAAATATTTTATGCAAAATTATGCCATGTAATAAGCACTCTTATTGCATCATTTGTTTTATGTTCTGGTGCCATTGTTTAGTTCTTTTTGTAGGGTAATTGTAAAATAATTGTGGGTACACATGCATTACACTTTGATTTGGCTCTGTTTTTGTAACCATTGATTCTTGATTGACTTTAAGTACTGTTATGTAATCAAACATAACAGATTTTCACCAATCCTTTAAGTACTGTAATGTAATTAGAATTTTTATTTTCTTACTTTTTTTGCAATACAATTAAGCTTATCTTTGTATTGCTAAATGAAAATATTGTTGAAGTCTTTATAATTTATCTTTCTATATTATTTCTATATTGTTCAGTGAAATTCAAGCATAATGGCAATGTCTCCGCAAGACGTAGGTCCACGTGATATTGGAGCTATTGATGATTCAGGAAGAATGGACACTCCCATAAATCCCGTAAATATGAATGAAGAAGCACCATCTCTTGGAGATGAAGAATTTGGGAGCGATGAAGAGGAGGTAGAAGTTGACACTAATGAAGTGGCTTCCCCAGATGATCGTATAGAGTCTTTAAACTCATTTCGACAAAAAACGAGAGTTAGAAAGTCTATAGCATGGAAGGATTTTCAAGATGTGGTTGTCGGATCGGAAAAAACTCTCATGTCAGAATGTATTCATTGCCAGAAAAAATTCATGAAAACCAAAACTAGTACAACTACTAGTTTGTTGAGGCATATGAATGTATGTCAGAAGAGATTGGCAAAGCTGAAGAAACCAAAGCAACAAAAGATAAATTTTCCAGTAGGTGACTCTAGCACACATTCATATCTTCATACTGGGCAGTTTGACATGGCTGGTATGAGAGAAGCAGCGGCTGAATGGGTGCTTATGCATGAGCATCCATTTTCAATTATGGAAGAGGATGGCTTGAATTTAATGTTGAAAAGGGGAATGCCCGAATGGAAAAAAATTAGTCGAACCAGCAACAAGAATGATTGCAAGGTAATATTTGAAAGAGAAAAGACTAAGATGAAGAGCATGTTGAAGAAAGTCAACAAAATCTGCTTGATCACGGATCTCTGGAAGTCCAAAAATCAGAAGATTGAATATGTGGTAATAACTAGGCACTGGATTGATAGCAACTGGAGATTGCAAAAGCGTGTTCTCAACTTTGTGCACATCCCTCCTCCAAGACGAGGTGTCGAAATTGCCGATGCGATATACAAATGTTTGAAAGACTGGGGTATTGAGAGCAAAATGTACACAATCTCAGTGGATACTGCCTCAAATAATGACACCGCATTGAGATCTTTAAAGGATACCTTCTCGAGGAGCAAATGCCTGTTAGCAAAGGGAAAGTTATTTCACGTAAGATGCTGAGCTCATATACTAATCTGATGGTTCAAGATGGTCTTCAGAAAATCAAAGACATAGTTGGCAATATAAGGGAAAGTGTCGCTTTTATAAACAAGACAGATGGAAGACGTTTGTTATTTGCTGAAATCGCACATCAATTGCATGTGCCTGGGAAGATGTTGGTGTACGACTGCAAAACACGGTGGAATTCTTCCTATGAGATGCTTGCTTGTGCGCTGAAGTTTCGAGAAGTCTTCCCAAGATTTTAATACCGTGAATCAAGCTATACCAAATGCCCAACAACTGAAGACTGGGAAAAGACAGAAAAGGTGTGCAATATTTTGCAACTTTTTTGGATAGCCACACATGTGATATCAGGTAGTGATTATCCTACATCAAATTTATATCTAAATGAGGTTTGTAGGATAAAGCAACTACTAGATAGTAAAGCAAATGATGCGGATTACTTTGTTCAATCAATGGTTCGAAATACGAAGGCAAAATTCGATAAATACTGGAGAGAGTGTAACTTACTAATGGCTGTAGCTGCCATCTTGGATCTGAGGTGCAAAATGGTGGTGATAAATTATTGCTTTCCTTTGATGTATCCTCCTGATGAGGTGGAGCTAAATATAAGCAAGGTTCGTTCTACTTTGTATGAGTTGTTCGATGAATATGTAGAGATGCAATCTACAACTTCAGGTGCTTCAAAAAAAAAATTGTCAGGATGATCCAGGAAATAAGAGCTCAAATGTTCCATCTTCAGTCTCGCATCGTACTGGCATGAGCGAGTTTTTGTCTCATGCTTCGACAGCTGAGAATGTTCAACCACAAAAAAATGAATTAGATACCTATTTTGAAGATGGTATTCTCACAGACACAGAGGACTCAAATTTGGACATTGTAAACTTAGATGCTCTAAAGTGGTGGAGGGACACAACGAAGTACAAGATTTTACCAAAAATGGTAGCTGACATTATGGCCATTCCAATTGGCACTGTAGCTTCAGAGGCAACATTTAGTGCCGGGACTAGAGTGATCGATTCATATCGTGCTTCGTTGGCTCCAGAAACTGTTGAAATGTTAATGTGTGCTGTGTTAGTGTTATATACTGAAAGCTTGGCTTTGCATGTTATTACACATTTACCCTTTGTGAATGAGAATCATGTTAGATTAAACAAGTTCTACGTTCTGTTGTTCTGCACTTAGATAGGGTGGGTCGTCATAAGATCACTCTATCAGTCACTTGCGAACAAGAATAGTTGTTCACAACCTAGATGGACATGAACACCCCATCCGAACGGTTGTAGTGTCAACTGTACAGTTTGTCTTGACTGATTAGTTGCACTAGTACATATATGTATTGAACAGGATCCCAGAGAGGAGAAGTTCATTTTATACTGATCGTCGTAAATGAACTAGGTCTCGGTTAATTACTGCGTTCTCTTAACCCGTAAGATATTAAACAGGCATATATATATAATATATATTACTTTGATTCACATGGGTGAGGTTCAGTTCGCTGGATTAATATTCCTACTGTTTTGGGTAATATTATTATATATAGGATGTGCTGTTAGGATATTTACGGTCACCATGTGCGTTAGTTTGATGATGTCCCCGGAGTGAGTCCATGAAGGATTGTTATGCTAAACCCTGCAGGTGGATTAAATTCCGGCATAATAAGAATGTGATGAACGAGCGCTAGCTTCGGTGAAATAATAATAAATTAATTAATTCTTGATTGTCAGTAATCAAATTAATTAATGGACATTATATCTTAAACGTGGGGAGGTAAATCGAGTAATTATTATTGGAGTCTCAAATGTAATTTGGGCTAGGGAAAGGGAGTGCAATAATATAATGATGGTGGCCCATTAATATTATTTAATTAATTAGAGGAGTGGGTTTGGCCCACAGTTAGTCTAATTAATTAAGGAGCCCTTTTCCTAATCTCCTTAGGGTCCCTACTGTAGCTCTATATATACATCATTAAGCTCATGAGAAGAGAACAGAAGTCTCATTCACACGAGATACACGCCTCACACGCCTCTCTCTCTCTAGATCTCATTCGAGCTTTATCTTCTTCTTGTTGCTCCACTGGTACAAGTTGAAGAAGGGTGTATTGAGTAATACAGTAGAAGATCTGTAAGTAAAACGAGACGAAATATATTTTGACCTACAGAACTAACCGGAAGTCCGATTGAGACGTACAGTATACCCATACGACCGTCTCGACGAGTGCTTTCCATCGCCGCCGAGATCGCCGGAATCCGACGCCGCACGCGCTCCCACGCGCCGTCGGAAGGTGCCAGGCAGCAAAATCTCGTTTTGATCTGTTTGCATCCGTTTGATCCAGTTTTGATCTGATCTTGTTCGCGCAACCCAAGACGTGATTTGCGGTCAATCAATTGCGGTCAACCGTTCGTGGTCAACCAGATCTACATAAATTTTAAGCCGTAAGTTCTCTACGTCAAACCTTTAGATCCGCTGCGCATAGGTTTACGTTTGCTATTGAATTCGTGATTTGTACATAACGAGATCCTCACAGATCCCAACATGCTGGTGATTGGTGTCGTAAGCGACACGGCATTAAGAAAAAAGAGAAATGTAAGTATGCTGAAAATATTAATTTGAAAATTATGTAACCATTGTCTATTTACTTCTCTCTGTATTTTTTTTCCAGAAAGTGAAATCGGCTCAGGAGATCTTGTTACCTATAAGTTGATTTATCATTTCAAGTAGTAGTTGTATTGGTCTGCTTCTTTTCTTTCCCTTTTTAGTTTATGTCTAATTTTAATTTGATTTTATGGCAGGCTTGACTATATTTTGGAAGTATGCTTGGTAACTAATGGCTTGGGAAATATTGCAGCTGACTAGATATGTATATTTTTGTTTTTGGGACAAGTCAGTGAGACTGTGACTCTTGTGATATTGCAGCTTGGGAATTTTGGAAGTTGGCTATATTTCCTTTTTTGATTTTGGGGCTTGAGAAATTTGGAAGATGGCTATATTTCTTTTATGATTTTAGGACAAGTTTATGATATTTATGAATGTATTTTGTTGATTTTGGGACAATTGATTTCGGGACAAGTTTATGATATTTATGAATGTATTTTGTTGATTTTGGGACAAGTTTGTGATATTGATGAATGCATTTTGTATGTACGGCTTAACTTCGATTTTGGATGTTGTAAATTGTAATAATGATCAGGCTTAGCATATATTGAAATATAGTAGTTAAAATTCGAGCTAAACTCGAGTTGATCTCGAGCTTCGAGTCGATCTCGAAGGCCATTTTTTATGGCTCGTCGAGCTCGAGCAATTAAAAAAAAAAATCAATCTTATGCTCGATAAGGTCCGTGCTCGACTCGGCTCGGCTCGTTTGCAGCCCTAGTTGTNTTTCCTAACTACCCCGAAATCATGCGCTATAAATATGGAATGGAGGTGGTCTATTATTAACTGATTATTAGACATGAATGTAATTAATTATTATCTGTTAGGTATATACATAATTAAACTGCTATGAATGGTAATATTGTAATATCTTATCAATCATGTGGGATGAATAAAAATTTCCCATTTTTTTTTCCCCAAGTATATCGATTCCAGAATTACTCATAAGGGGTCAATTTCCAGTACCCACAGGTAAATAAATTAAATTTCACATCCAAACACAATGTAAGAGCATGTCTCATTATGTAAATTATAAAATATTCCGGCCGGCCGACCGCGCGGACGGCCGCAGTACCGCCGGCCGGCCAGATTTATTTTTTTACAAATCAAATTTTTATTTATTATAGAAATTATGTTAGAATTTAGAAATTGTTATGTTATAAATTAGAATTTATTATTATTATGTTGGAATTTAGAAATTATTATGTTATAAATTAGAATTGATTATCTTAAGTAATTTATTATTATTATGTTAGAACATAGAAATTATTATGTTATAAATTAGAATTGATTATCTTGTAAAATTATTTTTTACATTATTCGAAATTTAATTAGTATTAGAAATAAATTTTTATTTCTGAAAAAAGTATTATTTTAAAATATAACTATAACTTGTTATATTATTTAATGTATATTTTTGGTAGTAGACAATAATTATAAATGTTATATTATTTTTTTTACAAATAATTAGTATTTTGTTACAGATATTTAGTATTATGTTATATAACATAAAAATTTCTATGTTCTAACATAATAATAATAAAATTCTATAGATAATCAATTATAATTTATAACATAATAATTTTTAAATTCTAACTATAAGATGATAAATTCTAATTTATAACATAATAATATCTAAATTCTAACATAGTTATACAATAAATAAAAAACTGAATATTAAAAAAATATGCTCGGTCTACCAGAAAATCGGCGGTGCGGCCAATCGGCGAAACCGACTG